AGGAGAGCGTGGCGAAGGTCGACTCAAAGCGTTGGTACCATTTCAGGGTCTCTAATCCATGGATGGCCCCCTTCTTCCGTCGGTTACAATTTTCGAGCCCCCTTCTTTGGGTGGTAGATTGAGGGCCGGTGACCCCAAAACGGCTTGACGCGGCTTGAGGAACTGTAAATGGAGGAGGATGAGGAGCGGGGAAAGAAAAAGAAGAAGGATCTCCCCAGGGCCACTTACAGCCATTTCACAGCCTTCAATATGGGCAGGGCTGGGTCTTTCAGGGTATTGTTTTCGATGAAAAAAAACAATAAAATAAAATTCGTAATTTTCACAGATGCTTGGAAAAGGGCCGGCTAGCAAAGATCTTATGAGGAATCAACAGGTAGACTAGCCGAGATCCAGGAGGACACCTGAGCAAACCAGCGGGAACGCTTTGCGGAATTTCGGGGCAAGCTAGCACAGGTTTTTAGGAAATGACAAGCTAGCAGGGATTATTTAGAACCGGCAGGCCAGCAGAGATTCTTTAGGAAATGGGCAGACTAGCAGAGATTCTTCAGGAAAGGCCAGGCTAGCAGAGCTATTTAGCGGGTATTCTTTGCGGAAATTGGGGGCAAGCTAGCAGAGGTTTTTAGGGAATGACAAGCTAGCAGCGATTGTTTAGAACGGGGCAGACTAGCACAGATTCTTTAGGAAATGGGCAGGCTAGCAGAGATCTTTTGAAGGTCACACACCCAGAGGTTTAGCGCTCTAAATGGGCAATATAATTGTTGTTGCCTCTGTGTGGGAGGCCCCTACCCCCTTCTATACAATTCGAGACCGTATAATGCGATGGGGTCGGCCTTGGAGGTGTTTTTGGCGGTTTTAAAGGGACTTTGAAGTCTGAAAAAAATCTAAATGATAAAATTTAGCTTTTAAATTTAATTAAATAAATTTTAAAATATTTCAAATTAGTTAGCCGCCCCCCCGATATTTAATTGAATCCCAATTAGCTTCCCTGCTAGCCGTATCCACTATATCCCGCTAATTTATCGCCTCTCATTTTTCGGGGAGCTCGACCTGGCCGCGGGGAGAAGCTTTTGATCAAGCCGACCCGGGGTGATGGATTGGGTGATTACGGTGGAATGAGCGTCGGACAGGCCGCAACATTTAAAGGGGCAGGGACACATAGAAAGTGAAAAATTTGAGGAATAAAATTATTTTGTCGTCATGGCCTAATGGTCAGCGTGTTGGTCTATCAAGCTAAAGGTGCGGGTTCGGATCTTTCAGGTGTAAGTTTTTTGCTTTTTGCTGTTGGAGTTAAAAAAATGTGTTCTAGGGGGTCGACAATATGGCGTAGTGGCTAGTACGTCGGTTTCTCAAGTTCGGGCTAGAGGGTTCGAATCTTTTCGGCAAACTTTTTTGATTTTTATTTTTTCCTTATTTCGGGAAAATCTGGCCATTGATTCAGCATGAAAATTGCATCTATTTATGGAAAATTACAGAAATCTACAGTATTTTGTGGCTCTTTTTTCTCGTCTCGATTTATAGTTCTTCCCACTGTGGATGAGTGGCCGCCCAGTAGTCCTCCAGGTAGGAGCACATCCTAAATGGTGCCCCAGTTACGGTACTACCAGCAAAGAATGTACCTTTTTGTCGCCTCGGCTAGCCCTTTTTCCTCAATGATCACATCGACAAGGTCACGGGATAGGCTGAAATAGGGTTACTGTAGCTAGAGCTGGGGCTTACAAGGAGTCGTTTTTAGGTGCTTTTGGAGTTTCGGGACGGGACCTAGCTAGTTCGATAGAGAAAAAAATTCTGAGCAACATCCCGTTTTCAAAAAGTGCTGATCGATAAGGTGTTTTAGAAAATTTAATTTAATTAAAAACGTTCCCGGTATCCGGACCCTTGATGTGATTTGAGGTGATTTGCGGCTGTGGACCGCCCCTGCCACATGGGGACTTCACTCGCCCTGGATCCCGTCCGAGGCATGGCCAAGTGGCTAGTGCGTTGGCCTACGAAGTTTTTTGCCTTTTGCCACAAGTTCGATTCTTATTTATCGTTAACTTTTTGCTTTTTTGCTAACTAAAATTTTATGCGCCGATAGCGGGTTCAAGAACCAAAAAGCAAAGGGTTAGCCAGCGCGAAGATTCGAACCCGAGGCAAAAAATGTTAAAAAGTTGGTAGGCAAGCGCGCTACCAATACGCCAATGCAACACGTGATGGAGGCCTTGGCGGAATGTTATGAATAGCGCCTTGCCCAGCCCCGAAAACGACGTGAACCGAGGAAATGGGCCCGAAAACTAGAAAAAAGCGCGAACTTTAAATGAAATTTTCTAAAATTCCTTTATCGATCAGCACTTTTTGAAAATGGTATGATGTTCATAATTTTTTTCTCTATCGAACTAGCTAGGTCCGGTCCAGAAACTCCAAAAGCACCTAAAAGCGGCACCTTGTTAGCGTTTTTTTAGAACGTTAGATTTCCTGGCCCGTAAGGACAGATTTTAGCAAAAAATAGGGTTACTGTAGACTTAAAGGAATCGGAAAGGAATCTTTGCTGAAAATCATAAATCCCTACTTTTGGCGTGAAATTATGCCTTCCCGGGCCCTTTAAAACAAATTTGAAATAGAGGATTAGGTCTAACCTTAAAGCGACTTAGAAGGCGAAATTTTAGAATTCCTGCGTGTCATGTTCCCTTTAATTACCCGCTAAGCGCATCAACACCGGCAAGTTCGGTCTTTTTGTTGTTGGCCCCGATGCCCGTCTTGTTCATCAACCGCATCAGCACCTGGAATATGGATTTTAAAGGGGCCGCTAAGGCTGGCACCCCAACGATTTTTGAACTCCAAGAGCTTACACTTCGGTTGCTGACTCGAATCTGGACGATGATGGGGGCCAGGTGGATGTCTTTTAGGTCTAAAAAAATATAAAAGGAGAGAGAGAGGGAGCGAGAGACAGACAGAGAGAGAGCGAGAGCGAGAGATGGAGAGAGAGAGAGAGAGCGAGAGATGGAGAGAGAGAGATAGAGAGAGAGAGAGATGGAGAGAGAGAGAGAGAGAGAGAGAAAGGAGGGGAGCATGAGGGAGGGAGAGAGAGCATGAGAGACGAGATAAGTAATCTCAAGAATCTCTCGAATCGTCGTCCTGTCTCTCTTTCTCTCTCTATCTCTCTTTCTCTCTATCTATCTCTCTCTCTCTCTCTCTCTCTCTCTCTCTCTCCTCTCACCCATAGGCGTATTAATATGCGGAGCTTCAAGTAGCAAAATCTTCAAGTCCTCAGCCAGAATCGTGATCGCCTTCAACTCCTTTTCATTCTCCTCTAAAGATTACGGTACTCAGGTCACCTTTTAGGGCCCTACCGTAATCCGTTCTCCCCAAATATTTCCTCCCAATATCCGTTTGCAGCTTCTTGCACCGATCCCCCATCCGTCGTTGTATCTCGCTGCGGAGGGCCGTGTGCATCATGTCGGTGATATAAAAAAATGGATGAAAATGGATTTAAATAAAGTGCTGTAGTTTGGAGTATACCGGAAAAAAATGAAAAATTAATAACATTTGTGATGCTTTGATCGAACCTGTGAGCCATGAAAGGCAGGACCGATGAAGAGGACGGGTCTCGAAGAGGGGACTACGGTATATGGGGCCGGGCATTCCCAGATGGATGAGGGGCTAAAATAGACGCTTTATTGCAAAAGATTTGTCACTTCATGTTTCCTTTAATACAAGAATTCGTAAAGAATATCTGCGAGTCCACCCTTTTCCTAAGAAAGCTCTGCTAGCCTGCCCCGAACAAAACAATCGTCCTAAAGATTCTTTGCTAGCTTGCCCGAGAGCCTAAAATACTAGTCTGGACTCAACTGACCTGAACTAAGGTTTCCTAAAGAATCGTCGCTAGCTAGCCCAGAGGAGGGGTGAAATTCCTCAAAGAATTTTTTTTTTTTTTTTTTTTTTTTTTTTTTTTTTTTTTTTTTTTTTTTTTTTTTTTTTTTTTTTTTTTTTTTTTTTTTTTTTTTTTTTTTTTTTTTTTTTTTTTTTTTTTTTTTTTTTTTTTTTTTTTTTTTTTTTTTTTTTTTTTTTTTTTTTTTTTTTTTTTTTTTTTTTTTTTTTTTTTTTTTTTTTTTTTTTTTTTTTTTTTTTTTTTTTTTTTTTTTTTTTTTTTTTTTTTTTTTTTTTTTTTTTTTTTTTTTTTTTTTTTTTTTTTTTTTTTTTTTTTTTTTTTTTTTTTTTTTTTTTTTTTTTTTTTTTTTTTTTTTTTTTTTTTTTTTTTTTTTTTTTTTTTTTTTTTTTTTTTTTTTTTTTTTTTTTTTTTTTTTTTTTTTTTTTTTTTTTTTTTTTTTTTTTTTTTTTTTTTTTTTTTTTTTTTTTTTTTTTTTTTTTTTTTTTTTTTTTTTTTTTTTTTTTTTTTTTTTTTTTTTTTTTTTTTTTTTTTTTTTTTTTTTTTTTTTTTTTTTTTTTTTTTTTTTTTTTTTTTTTTTTTTTTTTTTTTTTTTTTTTTTTTTTTTTTTTTTTTTTTTTTTTTTTTTTTTTTTTTTTTTTTTTTTTTTTTTTTTTTTCTGCTATCCCACCAGCTCGAAACTTTCTAAAGATAACTGCTAGCCTGCTTACCAAAGACCGAATAATTCCTCAAAAATCCCTTCCTAAAAATTGTTAAATTCCTAAATAATCCCTGCTAGCTCGCCTCTAATCCTAAAAACTGTCAAATTCCTCAAGAATCCTTGCTAGCCTGCTCTCGAATGAGCCAGTTGCGCAACAATAGCTGCTAGAGTGCCCCAAATTTCTCCAAAAATCGCCAAAGAATCTCTGCTAGTTAGCCCAAAATATTTGAATTTCCTGAAGGATCTCTGCTAGCCCCTTTTTCTAAAAACTACCGTACCCAATCCTCCCCCCATCCTCATCAACAATTTTCTTCTCCATCCTTCCCAATCGTCTGGCCGTCGGGATGAAGCCCATTTTGCCCTTTTTCTCCACAATTCGCCCGATCCACCACTCCGGGGAATATCTCTAAAAATATTTTGTAGCTTGTAGTTGGTTTATCCACTTACGGCATGAATATGCAGGAATTGGGATTTGTTGAACGAGATCGTCTTGTCAATCAGAGGGCTGTGACGGTCGAGGGCTCCATCGTAATCTCGATTTGCTCGAACGGCAAACCCGACTTTCATACGCTGAAATATGGATAGGATTCTTTATTGGTAAGTATCTTGGAAAAAAAGCAAAAAGTTCTTGCGCCGAAAGGATTCGAACCCTTCACCTCTACTTTATAAGCGTCGACAGTAGCCAAATGACCGCCTCAAAAAAACACCACGTTCTCACGTGGTGCATTGGTAAAGTTCTCGTCTCCCATCCACACGACCCGGGTTCAACGCCTTCCCGTGGCAAACTTTTTGCTTCTTAGCCAAAAGCTAAAGCAAGGTCTGCTAGACCCCTGAACTCCATCAGATTCCGACTTCCTCTCTTCTCTTCATAGATTAGGAGTTTTTTTTATTTTTTTTAAATTAGTTTTCCCTGATTTTGGATACCCACCTTCATTATCTTTTTTAAATTTGATATTATAAATTTTTTACATTTTTGATTATCAGTAGCCCAATTTCCCCTGTAGTACATTGGTAAAGCTCTCGTCTCCCACGCACACGACTCGGGTTCGAATCCCCTCGACGCCTAACTTTTTGCTTTTGACCAGAAGTTGGCCCACTGTCTCCGACCCCAAAATTCCACCATATTCCCATTTTCGCTCTTCCCTGCCTCAAATCGTTTTCGGTTGATTGACATGCACCTATTCCCCTCCCTTCCATCCCTCATCCCATAAATTCATTTCTGCCCCCTTCCATCCGCTCCATACAAAAATCCCCGTCCGTTCTTCATTCCAATTTGGGGCACGGCCAATTGGGCATTGGAGGAGGGCAGATGGAAAGAGGATGGAAATGGAATCTCCATAGTACCCCTAGCCTGCCTGAGGGTTTCCGTGAAGCTGAGGAATGGCCAAAATCGGGGCATTGGGGCTACAAAAATTTGGGCCTTGGGATTGGGGGCTTTGGAGGTGTTTTAAATGGACTGGAAAGTGCAAAAGAGTAAACGAATACCAGCTATAGCACCGACAGCCAAAATGCCGACAGCCAAAATTTCGGCAGCCAAAATGCCGATAGTCGAATGTACGACAGTCTCGCCGCTATATTGCTGCCATTTTCCCTTTTGAACAGTTATTTTGCATGTCATTTTGGTTGTCGGCATTTTGGTCGTCGGGATTGTTTTTGCGGTCTGCATTACGGCTGTCGGGATTTTGCCTGTCGGGATTTTTTGTCCGGATTTTGGCTGGCGGGATTCTAACTATCGTGATTAGGGGCTGTCCGGATTTTGGTGATCGGGATTTTGACGTTTTTCCTTGGATAGCCTAGCTTTTCGGCATTTCGGCATTTGGAGCTTCAGGATATTAGTTTATAAATTAAGATTTTGGCATTATTTTTAACTAACCATTTTTTTAATTTCAGTTTTGCGTTTAACATCCTTGTTGCGAGCTTACGGTAATTTCAACATTTTTGCGAGGGAATTTTGCGAGTTTTTTGTAGGTTTTCGATTGGGGGTTGAATTTTCCAGATAAATATACGTCAAAAACACAATTTCAAAAACATAGGTATCCTCTAATCCCTAATTTCACCAACATTTGCATACGCCATCCACTAGCCCTTGGAATCACCGGGAAATCACGCGATAAACACATTTACGAGGGACTTCTCCCCACTGAAACCTGGATAAAATCCACCTTTTATCGCCACCAGGGCCCCCACTGTTTAAACTTTGAATTGGCCCTCCACCCTGGGCCACATCAGCCTTTATGGCACATTAAAATGCGCTCTTCCAGCCGGGTGGGGGAAGGAGGGGAGACTAATTGGGATGATTGAAGGGAAATGAGAAGGAGGTGGAGGAAGAGGCCGAAGGGAACACCTGGAAGGTGACTTAGGCTTGGGTTAGGCTTGGGCTTCGGTTAGGCTTAGGCTTAGGCTCAGGTTTGAAGCCTGGATTGGGGTATGCTTGGACCGGTCTAGGCTTAGGTTGAGCTTAAGGTAGGTGTAAGCTGCTGCTCTAGAGGTGAGCCGAAAAGTACAATTCTACCTTCGCAACCTCCAGTTTCTCCACCGCATCCCTATATGCCATTTCCTTTCGTTCAGCATGATCCTCAGCAGCATCATATACCACCGGAAGTCCTTCCTAAAGCGTCGCGATACAGTGTCTCTAGCCAGGAATAGTCTCAAATACCTCTCTTGTCGGCTTCTTATACGAATAAAGGAACGATTGGAGCTGTTCGCGGATTAGGCTGTGCATTATAGAACTAGAGCTTAGATCCAGAAACGGCAAACGTTCAGCGGATAGTTGCGGAATACTGGGGCGCTATGGGGCGAGTTTTCAGGTTTAGGGCCCTGATTAGATTGTCACTGGGTCCCCAGTTATGGGCCCTAATTTGGGACCTAGGGCAGGGAAAATATGATTTAGAGGTGGGTAGGCTAGCAGAGATTCTCTAGGAAAGGGCAGGCTAGCAGAGATTCTTTAGGAAAGGGCAGGCTAGCAGAGATTCTTTAGGAAAGGGCAGGCTAGCAGAGATTCCTTGAGAAAAGGCGGGCTAGCAGTACTTCTCTAGAAAACCGCAGACCAGCAGAGATCTTTTAGGATCTTTCGGCTTCTCCCCTCCCTTCCGCTATTGTTATCAGGTTGTTGTGTGGTCTAGCTGTGAAGTTGTGGCCCCTATGTCCTCCTTCTGGTCAGTCAATCCATCATCTGTGCCGTCTCTCTCTCTCTCTCTCTCTCTCTCTCTCTCTCTCTCTCTCTCTCGCTCTTGTCCCCTCCATCCACCGTAATCCCCCTGTTCGCAGTCCCTAAATATCCATAAGAGCCACCCGACAGCTGGAGGGTCTATTGGCAAGGACATAGTGGTTCCTTATTTTTCATTGTTAACCATGTTCAAGGATAGCCTAGTGGTTAGCGTGGCTGACTGTCAGGTTTAGGGTCCGAGTTCGGTCCCTCTCGTGGAGGAACTTTTTGCTTTTTGAATAGACGGTTTGTGGGCGAATTTTAAATGTTTTCCTTTAAAAGAGCTGGTAATGGTAACGGAAAGGGCAAAATAGCTTCAAATTTGGACATAATTTTCACTTTCCAGCCCCTTTAAACCCTAAAAACATCGACGAGGCGATGATCGATCCCCGACGTGGCGGCCTCTTTGAAGTCCCCCACTACCCCGTGGCCATTAAAATACAAAACATGTATCGGGAGGAGCGATCGGGGCGATGATTTACTTTCGCGCCTAAAAGACGACCATTCGCGGGGTTGCACCTGTTCTAGTGGCGGTCGTATTAAATTTCGTATTAAATGCCAAGCTCTTAAGATACAAGATAAATTTAATTTAATAGATACCCCTCTTTGATGCTGGTTGCGAGGCTTGGCGGTCAATGTTGCACCGAAACTTCCCCAACCTGGCCCACTAGGGCGGCTGGAGGTTGAACAGACTCCTGTCTCTGACCCACTGGCTCAAGGCATGGTCTGTTGTTAAGGCACTCGCCTCCCATCTTCAGCATCCGGTTCGAATCCCGGCCGCTACAAAACTTTTTGCTTTTTGCGTTAAATTTCCAGAACACCTTCCCCTCACGTTTCCAAGCTCCAGAATCTGCTCCCGGAAAGGCTCCTGCTCCCCGATGGCCATGTGTCTTTTGCGGGGTGTTCCCGGCGAGTCTTTTGGCAGTCAGTGCCTATCTTCTGTCTTGATAGAAGTGGAGTGGAAGAGGAAGAGAAGGATTGTGAAAAAGAAAGAAAGGCAAGGGGGGAAGGGCCTTTCGGATGGGGCTGTGTGGTGATTTATGTCGCGCGGCTGGGCGGGGGGAGACACACGGCGGCCACACTCCTCTGATGGATACACCACACCAACCCCCACCCATACCCCCGACCATCTCGTCGAGGAAGGGGCTACGAAACGCTCCGTTATCGCGGCTATAATCACCACGCTTGTTAATGCCGGAATTTTGGGCGGAATTTCTATTTTTCTCGATTTTTGTTGATTTTTCTGCGGGGAACCAATCTGATTTTTCGTTTGTATTGACGTATCGTCACTATCCGTCATCGGCCTTATAATCACTACGCGAGGCTACGCCTGTTAACGTTTAAATTTTGAGTTAAATGTTGCTTTTTCTCGATTTTTGTTAATTTTTCGGAGGATACTGTGTGTTTTGTCGATTATAGCCAAATATCTTCATTATCGGTTATCAGTTCTATAATCCCTACGCGCCGCTACGCTTGCTGACGTGCAAAATTTTAGGATACTGCCGTAGTTTTTACGCTTTTTTGAGACTAATGGCTTTTTTGAAACGATTTTTGCAGTTTGTGGCTGCTGTCTGCCATCGGCGCACTAATAAGAGCTCAAAATTTAAGCTATGCTTGTGATTCTAGCTCTTTGGCGGCGGAAACGGGGCAGCGTAGGTTTTTGTTCAGTTTTCGCGGTTTTCGGGGGTAACACGCTTTTTTGTAGTTTTTAGCTTCTCTTGTAGCTCTCGTAGGGCTTCTGGTGGACGTTCACGCAAAAATTATAAAGCTGCAACCAGAGAACATCCCAAATAATCTGCTAGTTTGCCCTAGATGTCGAAGCCCTGGTTGCTTTTAAAGGCGCGCTGACAGCTGGCTTCGTGAGGCGAAAGTAGCAGAGATCTTTTAGGAAAGGGTAGGCCGACAGAGATGCTTTAGGTAGCCACCTAGCGATTTGCCTAAAATCTCCGTAACTGTTCTTTCCTTCCAAGTCCCTTTAACAGACCCTATATTCCACGAAGCACCAATCAACAGTTCCATTCCACTAGATTCCTATCCACCCTCTCCTCTTATTCTTCCCACAATCTTTCCAATCCAAGATTTACGCGTTCCCCTTTCCGCTTCTTTTCTCAATTCCGCTCAATCCCCCCGGTGGTGCTCATCGATCTTTTTTATAGCCACTGATCGTCAAGGGGGGGGGTGGGGAGCTTCGCGGAATTCAAGGGACTGGGAAGGGATTGTCTTTGGGATTGTCTCTTCTCTCTCCCTCATGCTCCCTCCCTTTCTCTCTCTCTCTCTCTCTCTCTCTCTCTCTCTCTCTCTCTCTCGTTCTCTCTCTCCCGACTTCTCTTTTGCTCTCTCTCTCTCTCTCTCTCTCTCTCTCTCTCTCTCTTTCTTTCTCTCTCTCTCTCTCTCTCTCTCTCTCTCTCTCTCTGTGTCTTTTTGGACCATTTCCTTACTTTTCCACTTGCTGGTCGATTGCTTAACACTCTAGTACGAACCATATGGCCCGAGTTCGATCCCCACCAGCGCCCAGCTTTTGCTCCTTGCTTTTGCGTTCCGTTTGACCAAAAGCCGGGCTACAAGCTCTCGCCGGGGGATTTTGAGTGGCCAAAGGTGGGCGGGAGTCTCTTGAGAGGAGGCTTTTCCCTTCCCCCCATCTATGACACGCCCCTCCTACCGTATCCCAGGGAATTGAAGAGCCCGCAGAGCTATTCCGATCATTTCCTCATATCCATTGCTGCTTTAAGGAGGCCGGCAAAGCAGGCTAGCAGAGATTCTTTGCGGAATTCTAATTTTTTCATTTTTCTAACATTCCCTGCTCATCCATGCCTTGCCAAGCCCTTTAGAGAAAGCCTTCCATGCAGGCGAGCAGATATTCTTTGCGGCACTCTGAATTTCTACGATGGAATACAGACTTCTCAGTCCCTTGAATCCGTGCTCCTGCTGGTTTGAGATGATAAGCGTTCCGTTTTTCCGTTCAACCCCCATGGGTGCCCTGAGCTTAGAGAGAAGATAAGGGGATTTTGGAGAAAGGAGAGTATAGTACTTGGGGTAGTATTTCTGATCTCTGCTAGCCGGCTGTCTTCGAATTCCTGAAGAATCTCTGCTAGCTTGCTGGGTTGGAATTCCTCAAAGCATCTCTGCTAGCCTTCCCTACTCTTCTTCTTCGCGAAACGAATTTTTGAAGGATATTTGCGGCCATGTCCTACTCGAATTCGTCGAGGAATTTCCGCTAGCCTCGCTACCTAACATTCCGCAAAAAATCTCTGCTAGTCTTCCTTTCGATTTCCGAGAGAATCTCTGCTAGTTGCCCTTGCTGAAACCCACAAGGAATCTCTGCCAGCCTGCCTCTTTCGGATTCCTCAAAGAATCTCTGCTAGCCTGCCTTGCACGGGTTCCGGAAAGATCTCTGCTAGCCCGCCCTTTTATGATTCCGCAAAGAATCTGCGCTAGCCAGGCCCTTTCGAATTTCTGAAGGAATCGCGGCTAGCTTGCCTTCAAATACCATTTACCCGGCAAGTTAGCAGCTACCTTTTGCGGAAATCCGTTATCAAAGGAGGCGCATTGAGTCATAATAGGGCCTCTCATTTTAGAATCCCCTCCCCCATGCCGATAAGTGATAGTAGGTGGGTCCCTCTCTTGCCTCCTTATCGATTCTTCTCTCTATGGCCGAACAGCCGGGGCTGCGAGAACGGCCGGAAATGAGAATTTTTTAGGATTAATTCTCAATTTTTCGAAAATTTACGCAAATATTTACTTCAATGGACCTTTAGAGCGATTTCCGGCTGCGAAACTTGAAAATGCGATCTCCCTCTTTCCCGCTATGTCTCTTCTCTCTCTCTCGCTCTCTGTCTGTCTCTCTCCGCCTTCACCACCCCTTTAAAATTGTTTATACCTTACCGTTTCTGGGGTGTCAGGTCAGCTAGCAGAGATCCCTGCCTCCCCAGATGGCCCCCCACCCATTGTTTATGCAAATCTCGACACATTTGGGGGATCATCTAGATCCCCGGGTGAGCATCTGGGTCCGCAAGGATCTCTGCTAGCCTGCCAATGGCTGGATTGTCCTAAATGATCTTCGCTAGTTTGCCCAGTCCGGTAGTTCTCGAAATTATATCTGCTAGCATTCCCTTTTTATGGACCGGCTAGGTGTTCCTAAATATTCTCTGCTAGTCTGCTCATTCCTAAAGAATCTCTGCTAGCGTGCCCTTTCATAAATAATCTCTGCATTTCCCTTCCCCAAAGAATCTCTGCTAGCCTGCCTTCTCCTAAATAGGATTTGCTAGCCTGCCATTTCCTTCAGAATTCATGCTGGTTTGCTCCTCTGGCGCGATTGAATTCCTAAGGAATCCCTGCTAGCCTCCCCATTCCTTCCTATTTACCCCCCATTATCCCTTTTTCTATTCACCATTCTATTCCTTTGTGGTGCAGAGACCCTTTGACCCCGGATATCATTTTACAGGGCCCCCTTCAGCTACTTCCTATTGCATAAGCTTGCCCTCCACGGTTGATCCCCCAGCTTCAGAGTTTTAAAGGTT